TTGTAAGGTCAAAGACTTGGCTTTTATCATTTTGTGTTGGCACTGTTGAAGTGGGAAAGTAATGTTTCATGCATCAATTTTAGGGTCTTTGCACCATCTAAAATATATCCCATCAATTGCAAGAGAATGAAGAATTAAAGAGTTTTGTTTACTAATTGGTGTAATCAATTATTCGGATGACAGAATATACAGGCAAATCTCCAGATCATGTGAAACTGGAATGAAGTGCAAGTACTTTAGGGGACAGGGATAGAGTTCAGTTGGATGCGGATAGATTGGGAAGCTGGGCTTGAAACAATAAGACAAAGGCCAAGGAAATAAATGCAAGTTGCCGCACATAGGGGAGCATAATCAAAAGGACAAATACAGCTTGGGTTATAACTGGGTGGTATCATTGTTGAAAAGGTGGGTCCAAGACTCAATATGAACCAGCAATTTGATGCAACTACAGAAACACTAATGCAGTTTTGGGCTGCAACAACAGGAGTATTAGATGTAAAACAAGCAGGTACATTGTAGCTGTGTTGGTCTAAGGACACAGGCAAACAAGGTTCTTTGGGTGAATCTGATACTTTTCATTAGACCAACTTAAATGGTTGGAAACATTTTTCATAGCAAGCATTTTGATTTAAAAGCCAGGAAGAGCACACACCAACTGCAGATGCTTCCCCAGCCTAACGAAGGGTTTTTAAACCCAAAAGCTTGCTAAAAAAGATGTAAAACATGGGAGGTGATAGTACTAGGCTTCACCTAGACTACTGTGTGAATTTCTGGGCTTCGCATTTTAAGATGGAATATGAAGCAGTTAGAAAATTTCAGAGATAGGTGACAAAAATGATAAATTCTTGGAAGACAAATCATGTTAAGAAGAGATGGAGAGAAGTAGGCATATTTAGCTTGCAGAAAAGGTAATTAAGAAGCAAATCACAGCAATCTTGAAATATCTGAAAAACTGCTGTAAAGAAGAGAGTGAACAATTGTTCTCCCTTGTTGAATAGAGAAGGACATCAAGCTTTAGATGACAGCGAAGTAGATTTAGATTAGATTTCAGGGGGAAAAGCACCCTTGTTTCTAGACCAGTGCGGATGTGGAATAGACTGCCCAGAGACATTGTGGAGTCTCCTTCATTTCAGGTTTTCAAAAAGAGGATAGTCAGAGGTCACGGATGATTTAGGAGTACTGTTCTTGCATTTGTGCAGGGGGTGGACCACAGGATCCTTGAGGCCCCTTCTAACCCTATGAGTTTATTATTATTATCATTGTAATAGCATCATGAATTGATATTGTGGATTAAAACAGTCAACTGCAAGTGAATGGACACTGAGACAGAAGGATTGGTGTGTGTCTTATTACTCAATCTCTCTTTTTTTTTTTTTTTTTTCCTTTTAGAGGGTAGACAGACAGAAGGGTACTAGTCTTCCTAATATTTCATGCACGGGTGAACTGCTGGAACTCGAGTTGACATTGTTAGGGTAACGATATGGATTTCGGATGTTGGAGTGACGATAGGGAATTTGGGGAGTGCTGAGTGTGCAGCTAAATGAAGGCTTTTACCTGTGTCTCAGCAAAAAGCTGCTGGTCAAAAGGCTGGATGATATATTCAAAGGTAACCTCAGGAAAAGCTGCTGGTCACAAGGCTACTTGACATATTAAAAGCTAACTTAGCTAGTGCTTAAGTAAACGGATTGTAACAAAAGGATAGAGTGCAAAGTGCATGATGTGTTAAGCAACTAGTGTCAGGAGACAAGAGCAAAGATACAGCCTTGGAGATGGAGAAGTCAGCAAGAAAACCAGCAAGAACCAGTGAGAAACTGCAAAGTGATCAAAAGAAGACAGGGGTCAAAAGTTTTATGCATGCGCTCTTAGCAGAGAGGCATGTAAATGAATGAAACGCATAGGCAATACCAAGCTAAGGAAGCAAACAGTAAACAGGTGGAGCTGGAGATGGGAGGAGAAATGGGTGGAACCAAGGGAAGGTCATGGGTGGAATCCATGTATATATGTATAGACCAGGGTGTATAAATATTGAAAAGAACTGTTGTTCAGGGCTGCTCCCCACATTTGGTCGGTGAGGGAGCTCACCCGAAGCCATCTCCGTTCTGAATAAAGCTGTTGTGAGCAGTGTGTGCTGGTGTTTGCTTCCTGCCCTGCTCTGGCTAATGAGCAACAGGAACCCTGGGCAATTGGACCATCATCTCCCCAGTCGTTGGGTGCCACATGGAGTCGGGGTCTAACAGACATGACTAAGGTTTTGTGAACTTGTCCAGTTATAGTAACACAGCACTTTCCAAATAAAAAGTATTTTAAAGGAAATGTCCTGATCAGCTTTGCTACTGATCACACTAAACTTTCTGGAATTAGCCCATGTCTTAACTACTGTAAATAAACTTTGAATACAGCAGTATCCTGTCTAAACCTCGGTATGGCAAAGCGCTTCCTCTTTCCTTATGAGAACATGCTTCCTTGCCCATATCTCCCAAGTGCTCCTTCATCATTTTTTTCCCTCCAGGCTGTGACTGCAAGATTTCAGGGCAAGGATGAGAGCTACAGACATTAGAAAGCTCAGTTTGGGCCCACAGTAAGCCATGAAACAAGCCTTTTTTGCACCACAGGGAAGAGGATACACAAGAACATTCATGTAGATCTGCTTATGGCAACATTTTTATTTGTGATGCAGACAGAGCGGGTTTTTTCCAAATGGCAAAGGAATGATTCAAGGCTGAGGAAGGCATACCATTGAAGAACGGAGCCTCATTGATCTGTGCTAGAGCACATCATTTTCCGCCAAAGCCTTGAGATCCAATGTTCAGAGGGCTAGCACATTCAAAAGTGCTTCAGCATTGTTGGGTGCCTAACTACATTTGGCTAGTTTGGAAACAACTGTATTAACTCCAAGTATTCATACTGTGTTTTGATCAAAGTAAGGGAAGGTTACCAGATCACTGGGAAAAAAAAAAAATCAGGGCCATAAATATCTGTTCACCGCTGTTTAAACAGGTTGAGGTTTAAAAAACAAACAAACAAACAAACAAACAAACAAACAAACCCCTAAAGGAAGTTAGGTGATTATTTTAAATGAGATTTAAGGTCTCAGACTCACTTGCCTGTTTCAAAACATTCATAGGATCCTAGGACTGGAAGGAAGAGTATTGCTTCCTCCTATAATACAGTCCTAATACAACAACTCTGTTCCTTGGGTGCATCTATTCATGAAATTAGCAGTTGCATGAACTCCATCACAGTTCTTGCTGGAGTTTCTTGTTCCTGGGTGCAGAATTAGAGTAGATGGCATTAGATTAGCAATCTGTTCCAAATAATCCTTGGCAGTGAGAGGGCCATGGAGGACAGGGGGTGGAGTTAGGGGGACCTGTCCATGGCTCCTGTGTGGAGATCAGGATCTCAGTCCAGCTCGATGGTGCTGGCTTGGGGTGATGCCTTGTGCCCGAGTGTGGGGAGTGGGCAGGGGTGGTAAGCACTGGTCAGACTGGGGAGAGGTGAGACACAAGGGGCAAGCAGCACCAGGCCTTTCCTGTAGGGTTTGTTAAAAACATGTTCAGCATGCCTAGGTGGGAAATGAAGATCACATGTAACAAAAAGGATCGAAGGCCAGACCTGCAAAGGGTGGGTCGGGGAGGGATCATGCCCTCATCCTGCTAAATGAGGTCCCCCAGCTGGCTGGTGGGTCTGAGCCTGGTTCCTCCTCTTCCCACTGCAGCACTGCTCAATTTAAAAGGGGTATACATACATAGGGTGCAGCCCGAGCTGTTCCCAGCCCGGTTCAAGGGAAGGCTGATTTTGGTATCCCAATGCAGCAGGGACATGTGAGCTTCTGCTGCTTTCAGATCTGCTCAGAAGACAAGGACTTTGCCCCAGCTCAGAGCACTTTAATTAGTTTTTTTCTGGCATGCAGTACAAGGTGTATATGTTGTCCAGCTTCTTACCCCCTCGCATCTTCTCCCTGAAGTTCCACTGCTGCTTAGCCCCACTGCCAGGCATAAGGCATCAGAAGGCCTGGGATCCCAACACCCATGCAGCTGAGAGGTGTCCCCGACTTGAGGACAGTTCCCACCTCTCTCCAAAACTCAGGCCTGTCCCCTGCGCCCCATGCCAGCTCAGGGCTGGCACCAGGGAAGCCTGGAGCTCCCCCTGGCTGCTGCAGGGCAGCAAAGCAGGGCAGGTGGATAGGAACAGCCCTGTACTCAACTGATCCCACTGGGAGCAGATTTGCTCCTGATGCAGGTGCATATGTATATATGACCCCAGGTGCAGTTTAGTGGGTTGATAGTTTTTACCACGCAACACTTTTTGCCATATTGTGCTGAGATGCTACTGCAGATCAGTGTAACAGCTGTATAGATAGCTGGGCTGCAAGCTTGGTGGACCCGCTATGTCTAGTACCCTTTGTATAAAGGCTGGCAAATGCCTGCACTGGGTGTCATGGCTTTTCCAAGCAGGAAAATACACTATGCACCGTGCGTGCTTTTTATTGGACCATCTGCAATGTAATTAGAGCCCTCACTGCAAACTGAGGGCTCTGATTGGCTGCGCTTGTGCTTTAAAGCACCCATAATGTGGGAAAGGTGGAGAGGAGGATCCAATTCCAGCTTTGAGAGAGACGGGGGCAGAGGCGCAGCCCCGCCACTCCTCCACTGGAATGGGATCTGAGGCTTGCTCAAGGAGCTGACATGCCAGTGATCAGTCAGCAACTGGGAGGTGGATTGGGGGTCCCCTCACAGACAATCTTGCCGACTGGGAGGGGGCGTTCCCCCATAGCTGATCACATTGACCGGGAAGCAGCCACGGCACTCCTGGAAGTGGCCGCAACACTCCCAGTAGTGGCTGCGGCAATGATGGAAGGAGTTCAGAGCCTCAAGAAGAACAGGAGCCGTGTTCACACCATGTAGTGGCAGATCCTCACAATAAATGTGTTGCTATTTATTACAATGAGAGGGGAGGTTAAATTCTAAAAGGAAACTTTAATTTTATCAA